CCTGAGCTAGCTCCATGTGCTCAAGGCAGAGAGACCTGGGGTGGGGGTGTTGCTGGTAACCCCAGACCCTTGGCCAATGCAGGGGTGAGAAAAGACCCCTGCAGTCCCCCTGCATACCATGTGTGTAGAGCACAAAGAATGCCGGGCAGCTAGGCAAATGGCAGGGACCCACGGGACCGGCAAGTGGGGATAGGGAAAGACTCACCTACAAGGGCCAGGCTCAGCTGTAAGGGCTGCAACAGTGGTTCAAATTCAGAAAAGCAGCCTCGGGGGACTCCAACACAACACATTCTAACCCATGACACATGGCAGAACTCCTTTCCCGTGCCATGTGCTTAGGGCAACAAGAAAAGACCCCTGACCCATGCATGCCACGTGCATGGGCAATGTGGGACAGAAAGAGATGCTTAAGAAACACATAACACAAATGACAGCACATTAGACAGCACAAACATTAGACAGGACAAACCGCGGCAAAGAAATGGTGCCCCAAACCAAAATTACAACCAAACCTTGGACTTTCATCCAGGGTGGAACCAAGGTTCTCGCAAGTCTGCTTACCCTATGGTTCAATTACAAATTCTGCGCAGATCAAATACAAATTACAAATTCTGCGCAGATCAAATACAAATTACAAATTCTGCGCAGATCAAATACAAATTACAAATTCTGCGCAGATCAAATACAAATTACAAATTCTGCGCAGATCAAATACAAATTACAAATTCTGCGCAGATCAAATCAAGCAACCCTCGGACTTTTGTCCAGGGTGGGACTTCAGGGTCTTCCCCAGAAGTCCGAATTACAAATACAAATTCTCCGCAGATCAAATACAAATCATGGCACCAAACAAAACAGCAAGAGACATAACAAGCAAACATTGAACATTGAACATATATAAGTTTCGAACTCGAATCATCTTATCTCCAAGATGGAATCCACTCAGGTGAAGGGTGGTCGCAAATCCCGGACGAGCCCCCAAAATGTTAGACCCCCGAAAACTCAAGTATCCGGGGTCTCAGGCCAGGTTCGCGGTCACCCCAATCACCAGGCGGATTCGAGAGCTTGCTGCAAACTGCACGAGGCTTTATTGTAATTTAACGAGCTAACCCCATGTTAGCTCGGGTCTTTCACCCACCCGTCATGGCGGACAGCTAGAAAAGACGGCTCCAACGGGCTCCCAAAAGATCTTAACATGGGGGTCTAACAGAAGTATATTTTTTTCTTGGTTAAATTCGTTTTTTTCTGTTTTCCCCTCTAAACACATTGGAGTGGATCTGTGTGTTTTAGACCTTGGTTCAATTCATCCTGTCTTTACTGATCGAATAATCAAATGCACGAGAGAAGCCCTAATCAGTGCATCGACCCTGAAATATGCTTTAAATGGTCAATACTTAAGAGGGCAAGATGAAAGCCAATGGGAGGAAAGCCTACAGGTAAACGTTCCAGGCTCAGGAGGTCTGTAATTGTCTCTTAGCAAGCGCAGACACACGTGCAGTTACTCTACGCGCCAGCCACTGTTCTCCGAGGGAGGGATCCAGAGCGCCTGGCGTTCCTACTTCCGGCCCAGGCCCCGCCCCGCAGTTGCTAGGAGACGTGATGTCACCGGAAGCGAGGCCTGGGATAGGCTGAGGCCTGGGGAAGCCTCTCCCACACAGCAGCTTGGGTGCCGGCGCTTGCTCTCCAGCTGTTCTTAGGCCGGCGGCAAGGGTCCGGACGGCGCGACCGATTACCGTTCCCGCACACCCGGCCTGCCGTCCTCGCCGAGTCGGTTGGTGCTCCCGTCGGGCCGGCAGCCTAGCTAGTAGCTTCC